ATTCTCCTGAAGTGGGTTTATTCATATTTCCCACCGGTGAGTAGTGGAATACACGTAACGCTAGAACCGCAGCGAAACTCCATCCCACAGAATCGAAATGAGTTCAAAAAATCACGAGGGCCTCCAGCCATTATAAGAACCCTGAATTATCGTAACTTTTCAGTGGCATTGGGTTTGGTCCGCACATTCCTAGTTCTACATTACCCACTAGGCGACTGATTTCGGTGCGGGACCATACACAGTCCTTTCGGGTCTTGATTTCATATAGCAAGGATTAAAACAAAAGCAAGGCAAACACTAAAATAACATTTCGTAAGTAACTATCTTTTTTCCAGCGATTAGGATAGATTTTTACCTCTCGGTTGACTGCTCTTTTGTCTTTTGTTATTTGCTGAGCTTTGAAGTGGCGGATTAATTATGCGAATTTGGCACTAGTCTCCTTACAAGTCAGCAGTATCGTCTGCTTGTGTGTTAACTTTGTTAGTTGTACGACATTCAGAGTTCGTTGGGCCATTATGACGCGCAGGCATTCCGGCGCTAGTGATTTATGTTTGTTACACTTCCATGCAGGCACAGGAAACTTGAATTAAGCAAGTCACTTATTAACTGGCCTACACTAGCCATTTTAGTTGGTGTCAAAACAACGTTAGAGCTAAGCCGATTGATCGCAGGTGGCAAAATGACTGGAGGCTTGCTCAATCGACCCGGCCGTACAAACCACCAGCCTGTATTTTCATCAAGTGTCAATCATCCCTGCGGTGTAGACAAAGATTGTGTTCCCATACCTGAACTATCAACTAACTTGCCACCGAAACCATCCGAGGACGTACGTGCCTATGTTGTGGAAGAATTTATACTGACTCTGCGTAAAGACTTTGGTGGGCTTTCTGAACAGCCAGTTTCTTGAAAATAACTTCAACAATCGATATTAGTTCCCGATGTCCTTCTTCTTCCGACTGATTAGTTGACCCTTTGTATCACACGCTCACGATATCTGCAAATAGGCAGTGCTTAGAGTTGACGTGTACGGCACATTTGATCACACGCCCTAACATATACAGATAGATTGAGGTTTGTCTCATTATACCCTCCGGCTGGCCGGTAAGCCTGGAGCGATGGCACATTGCGTGAGGATTCTACTCGGTCCCAGGGTTGAATGTGACT